TCTCATCTGCAAAACAGAAATTTAACTGCATACAGTTGTCATGAAGATGAAAACGAATAATGTATAGAAATGGAATTAAACAGACTTGTGCCTAACAGTCTGGCTGAGGTTTTTTTTTTTTTTTTTTGATACTAGGGATTGAACCCAGGGCACTCAACCACTGAGCCACATCCTAAGTCCTCCTGACTTAGCTTCCCGAGCTGCTGGGATTACAGGAATGCGCCACCACGTTTGGCTATGCCTGACACTCTGTAGGTATAATTTACAACTATTTATTTTATCCTCTAATAAATAAGGCCATGCTAATAATGAAAATATAATATTTTAATATTTTTTTCCCTTAAAAGCTCTGCTATGAAGTTTCTGTTCACCTTACAATTGATGTGACTTGGACCTTAGAATAGGTGGAGCATATTGATTTCCACATTTAAATTCCCAAAGTAGAAAATTACCAAAGGGAAAATCTGTCTCAAGAGTGACTAACTGATGATGTTATTGTAAGTCTTTGATTTTATAGATAATGATAGTATTCCACTTCTAGTATCCAAGTCACCAACCCTTTCGGGTATAAAAGCTAAGTCATAATAAATACAAGGTAACAAGAGATCCCAAAGGGAACATTTCTGTGTTGTACTCTCCGCTTATAATTAATCTGATTTGGAGAGTCAGAATACAGAATATTTTATTTACATTTCTCCATAGAGATATTTCGTGATGGTCAATGAATGTGTGATGTACTTTGCTTGTGTGAGGGAGTGTCTGGGTGGGGGGACTTCAGCAAAAATAATGAAGCATTTTTCTACCTTTAGATACAGAGCAAGATATACCTTTTATTTTAAGGTATAAAATTGACTTTGATATTCAAGATTTGTTCCTCATCTCATAATCTTGATGAAAACTAAGTTTTGTGGTTTTATGATATTTGTATTTTATTTTTAGTAAAGTGTACTTTTCATCAATCAATCCCATATTTCTTCTTTTCCTAATTTGTTAGAATAGAGAATAAGTGCAATCAAATTAGAATTTCTCCAAGTGCTCTCTTTTCAAGAACAGAGAACTATATTGTTGTAAAACCAAGTGAATTCATCTTTGAAAGGAAATATAGGTTGTGAATGGGAAGATATATCAAAACAGCCTTAAGTAAATCTGCAACTTGAAAAATAAAAAAAATGTACTCTCTTCTGCTCTGTTGTCAGAATATGTGCATAGCTGTTTGGATATAATTTGACCCACACAGTTGTTATTCTACCACTATTATAGCATCTTTTGTTTGTTTCTATGATGTCCGAGGGATTGGACCCAAGACCTTGCACAGGCAAGCACTCTACCACTGAGCCACACCCCCAGCAAAATAACATCTTTAAGTGTCTGAAAACTTTTCAAAATGTCATCCTATATTTTCATTCTTAAAAACACTACAATACTTAGTGACTTGTGGTAAAAAAAAAAAAAAAAAAAAAAAAAAAAAAAACACTACAATAATTTGTTCTCAATTTAGTGCTGGAAAGATTAAACTACTATCTCCCCAGATAACACTATCATCATGAAATGAAAAATTTAAAAAGTAATTTAATTTTGTAATTTGTTTATAAGATTTTGGGAATTCACAAATTTAGCAACAGTGGTTCCAAATGAAGCCTCAAAAATCACTTTTAGCAACCCCCTTTGTTTGTCTTCATATTCTTAATTCTCTTTTGTAAATGATTTGTCAAATTGTTAGGTTCTTTGATTCACAGAGGAAAAAAGTTCTGCTTTGATATCAAAAATTAATATATGTAGAAAAATTACACATAATATTTTCATAATTCTAGCAAATGCCCTTAATTTCAAATTAATATCTATATATGGAAATTGTTTTCGAAAGACATGAGAATACCTTAAAATAGTCTATGTCTTAATAGGCATATAATTTAAAACATAGTATACAGTATACTCCATTAATTTTATATCAAATGAACATATTTATATACCTTTACTATATATTTTATTCTAACTACAAATGCATATTTATAATATAGACCTACATACACATATTTTAGCATGTATTTTTACAGTAAATATATATAAACATTTTAATTTATTGTTGATGAATTTTAAAATTTTATTTATTTATTGGTATGTGGTGCTGAGAATCGAACCCAGTGCCTCATACATACTAGACAAGCATTCTACCATTGAGTCACAACCCCAGCCCACATAGTAAATATATTTTTTCTGTACATTTTAAAAAGTGTAATGCTATCTTTTTTAAAAACCCACCTTTCATTTATTGGAATATAGTTTGTCGTTATTTTTTTCCTAGTAAGGACTTTGTAGGGGAGCACTTCATGCAAACATAGGCATTTTAATTTCCATTTCAGAGGTGTTAACACTGATGCCAGAGATGTTAACACTGATACCAGAGATGTTAACATTGATGCTATCTTGTCCCAAGTTCATAGCTGATAGGCAGACAAAGCAGGGCCAGATTTTACAACTAGATTGACCTGATTCCAAGCATTCCAAGGGATGTGTTAACCATGCCCTGCTACCTCCCAGTTTTGGCTAAGGTTTCAATATGCCATTTCAAGTCTGTTGGAGTGTCCTGAACCCATTTGTATTCTCATTGCTCTCTCTCAGGACTTGTCCCTTCCTAGTGCCTGCACCTAACAGACCTCCTACCCCTTTCATGAGATGCTGGTTTTGACCGCCAATGATGATGGTGTTGGAGGACTGGGAAGATAATCCCAGGGAGAAAAGGACATGTAAACTCTGAAGTGGAGGGAACTGAGGACCCAAGACATCCTCAATGTGTATCCCAGCACATTGGGGGAAATTGGATTACTGACATCTGCATTTTACATTGGTCAGGTAATCATCAGGATTTAACAGTAAATGACAATACTCTGGTTGTGAGACTCCCTCAGAAGGACAGACTCCAGTCAGATAAGTAGAAAATTTTGCCAAGTTTCAAAAAAAATTTTTTTTCTCTTCGGCACTGGGGACTGAAGCCAGGGTCTTGGGCATGTTAAGCCCATGCTCTACCACTAGGCTTCACCTCCTGCCAAATATATTTCTTTAATTTGAAAAATGCATTATATGATTTGACTACTCTGGACCTGTGAGCCTTGCAAATTTAGAACTGTTAGATTATAGGGTGTGCAAGGAAATCAGAACTATGTGACTTCTCCTTGAAGGGGAAGAGCCCTCCAAGGATAGTAACCTGCCTCAACAATTTTGATTCAGCTTGTTTGATTCCCATTGATGGAAGTTTTCTGAGTAAAACATAGCCAAAGATAAGATGGTCGAGCATTATTTAAATTACTGTCCTGCCAAAATGGGTTTGTAATGGTCATAAAAATGTGCTATATTGGGGGGAAATGCTCACAAATTGATGGATGTGATATAGAGGAGAAAAGTTAGTAAAAAGTTAGTGAACTTTTATCTGAAGTATCATAAAATTGTCTTCTTTCTCATCCCCTCCTTTTGCACCAGGAATTGAACCCAGGGGCTGTTAACCACTGAGCCACATCCCCACCCAGGTTTTTTTTTTTCTTTTTTAACAGGGACTCGATAAGTTGCTTAGGGTCTCCATAAATTGCTGAGGCTGGCTTTGAACTTGTGATCCTCCTGCCTCAGCTTCCTGAGCCGTTGATATTATAGGCGTTCACCACTGTGCCTGGATTTCCTCTTCATTTTTGAGAGGACCTTGTTTTTTCTCTTATATATGACAGAATCTTTGAATCAATTCCAAACATTTAATTCAAGGAGATGTTTCATGAGACAGTGATTTGGTGGTTAGGATACAACATGGAGTCTTACTTAAATTGTTTGATTGACCTTCCCCCATAATTTACATTCTTTGTTTTTCCTGAGCTGATTACATTTTTTTCTATTTGTTGATATGCCCAGTTCCCACACTTTATATGTATAGCAAAAGAGGCTAAGGTGTTCAATAAATATTACTCTTCTTAATACTGGGCAAATATGACTGTATTTATTAGAAATTATTATATTTTTTAAAATTCAAGCACTTAACTTAGAGATATTGTACTTCCCTTACAGTACTCCCTCTTGTTACCTTTGGAAAGGCCTTCTAAGCCAATTATCAGGAAAAGAATTATAACAAGTTCTCTGAAAATAGGGGTGCACTTTAAAAAGGAAAGTCCACAACGAACACCAAGTTTCTTTTCTCCTAAGCCTCTGAAAAGTATTCAAAGGCACAGACTGGGATATTAAATTCAATAGTGGCACAGACATTTCTATCTAAATTCAACACAAAAAAAGTCACAGTTTTCAGCAAACTATAATTAAGTGAAAAAGCCTATTCGTGACAATTTTCATAAATTTTAAAATGCTTGTTTTACTTAAATCCTTTAGAGAACATTCCCTTATCCTTAAAGTTCCATCTTCATGAGCTAGTTTCTATCATTAAAGGATTGTTTTTCATATAAGAGAAATATTTTTTAAAGGCTCATTTCTGTCTTCAAAACAGAAAATCTAAATCCCAGAAAATCTAAACAAATAAATGGAACAAAAAAATAAATAAAATAATAATAATAAAAAAAACTAAGGTTTTGTTTCTTTCCTAGGATGAAAAGAAAATTCCAGTCATCTAAAATGGTTGAAAATAGAGATGTATAACTCAATTCTTCAATGTATTTAAAAGTATACAGAGAACTCCCTGTTGAAGTTTTAAAAATGAACTCTTACACAATAATGAGCTCTTACATACCACGAGAGTGAACTAAAAGATTAGAGACAAGATAATCAAATCAGAAGTACATATTCAGTTTCATTTCTGAACAAATAATCAAAAGATTATGATATCATTTTTCTTTCTTTCATTTTAGCACTTTAAGAAAAATTCAATGGAATCCCAATTCTCAAACTAGGCACAGTTAAACTCTATCACAAGAGGCACACATGTGCTGTATAAGAAACACAGACAAACCCCCCCTACCACCCAAGCATCTTTAGATGACTTGCTTTTTGAAATGAGAACGATAAGAGTAGATTACCTGACACACAGAGGTAGTACCTGTCCTGCACCGAGAACTCAATTTCAATAAACTCATATAGATTCTGTGAGAGTGGCTTAAACAGTTTCTTCTCCAAGTCCTCCTTCACCAATGATGACATTTCCTCCAGCTCCCCTTGGCCTGATATTTTGGTTCACACTCAGGCTTGCTCTCCTTTTGCTCCTTGCTGCCTCGTCAGTCTTTGCAATCCTCCCAGTTTACCCGCCTTTAACTTCTCATTTGCAGCCAGAACCCAGGCTCCAGAGAGTACCGTGGGGTCAGTCCCTCACTGCGGTATTTGCCCAGTGGCAGCAGCGGCTGCAGCAGCTAAAATACAGCAGTGGCACTAGCCCCACCGCCAGCCTTGAGCATCCAGCCTCAAGCAGGCTGCTCTCGGGAGCTCTCCTGTGGCTCGCTGATGGGGAACGTATTTATGAACGCCGAGCCATATCCACAGATCTACTTGTGGAGTCCCCTGGTTATTCCAATCTAAGTACCCTTTCCCCTTTCACAGCAGCACTCGGCAGAGAAAAGACCACCACTGCAGCTGGATGCCATCATATAAATCAGCTGTCTGGCTCTATTGATTGGGATCATCTTCCATTAAGAACTTTGTTCTCATCCGCCAAGGAAAAGGCATCCCTTCTCGCTCTCGGTATTTTCAACAAGTTTCTTTTCCCCACCTGCAATGTGTTCAGACCTTTGCTTCCAATGCTCTAAAGATTATGGATCTAAATTGTCATTTTTTTTTTAATTTTTCAAAATTATTTTTTAAATGGACATTTAAATGGGATCATTTTAATACTATGTATTCCTTCACTCACAGATGAAAATATATTAGGTACTTACTAAGGGAAAGCATTCTGTTTGCTTCTTGGGAAGTTTCTATCCTCAAAGAGCTTATGGTCTAATAGAGATAAGTACACCATATAATTAACCCAGATGTGTAAAAGTGATACATGGCACCAAACAGAAGGGAAAACAGACTAGGAAATGTACCTTTTCCTGAAAAGAACAGAAGAAGTACCATGGGAGAGTCTGGAGCTGGGAGAGTGAGAGAAGAGCATAGAGGTGGAGAAGGAGGGGCATATTGAAATGGAAGGAGCACTGTGAGCTGCATCAGTAAGCATAGGGTGGCTGAAGGTGTCCTCTCCAAAATTCCATTGCTGCCAATGTGGTAGTATTAAGAGGCGGGGCCTTTAAGAGGTGAGTAGGTCATGAGGACTTCTCCCTTAGGAATGGGATAAAGGCTGACAGGCTTCCCACAGCCTTCCTCTGGCTTGCCCTTCTGCCTTCTGCCATGTGGTGACACAGCATTCCTACCTTCTGAAGGATGCAGCCCTCACTGGACAATCCAACCTCAAGCCATCTCTATCTTGGACACCTAGCTTTTTGGCATCCTTTGAATTATGCAGTCTGTGGTATTTTGTTAAAGTAGCACAAATGGACTGAGGCAGGGTGTTGAGGGAGGACAGAAAATTGTCCTATTTTCTTGAGTTGTAGGGTGTGTGTATTTAAAAGATGAAAGAAAGATTGGGACCAGATCATGGAAATGCTTCTACAACAAGTTAATCCTTTAGACTGTATTCTACAGAAGCAGAGAGCCAATGAAGATTTGGGGGCATTTATCAAACATTTATCAAGAGTTGATTATGTTCTGGGCTCTGTTCTAAGAACTGGGGATATGACAATGAAAAAAATGGGCCAATTCCCTGCTCTGAGAAGTTCCTTGGGGTAGGTGGAAAATAAGGACTAACCCAAGCAGCAGTGCATTCAGGGTGTACAAGGCTACAAGTCACAGAATACAAGACATAAAGATATAAATAATCTCATGTAATAAGGTCTGCAGGTAGGCAGTCCCAAGGTGAAAGTAAGGCTGATAGAAGAGAGTCCCAAGTGCTTTCCATTCTACTCTCCTCAGATGCTGGCTCTCCCCTCCCACACCACCTCAGGCAGCTGTGGTTCAGCTCCAAAGATAGGAAAAAAAAAAGGGGGGGGGGAGTAGCTATTTTGATTTTTTTTCTTTTGTTCCAGAGGCAAAATACTTCTCAGAAACCTGCCAGCAGACCTCCCTTTGCATCTCAGTGGCTGTAACTGGGTCACATGATGACCACTAGTAAGGTAAGTATTTGTCATCTTTGGTTGCTTTCAGGGGAAGTGGGATTTTCTAACAAGCAAGAAGGGGTTGGGTGTGACTGTGAGCAGGCAACTGATAACGTCTTCCATGGTTGCTCTAAAGAAAGATTAATGACATGCTCCTAGCTAGGTTGAACTGCAGGGTCCTTGGGGAGATATTTGCTTTCATAGGCCTGTTTCCTCATCTATAGAATAATGTAAAGTAACCTCTTTTCTTACTTTAATATCCTTCTATTCTCTCTGTGATTCTGAGAGTATATAAAAACAATTTGGGGGCTGGGGGTGTGGCTCAGGGGAAGAACATGTGCCTAGCATGAGAGAGGCCTTGGGTTTGATCATTAGCATTGCAAACAAACAAATAAACACTGACTGTTCCCCCTACAATTTGGGTAAGAGGAGCAGAAGAAATAGTGAGGGACAGTTTTGTTTGTTTGTTTTGATACCAGGGATTGAATCAGGAGTACTCCACCACTGAGCCACATCCCCAGCCCTATTTTGTATTTTATTTAGAGATAAGGTCTCATTGAGTTGCTTAGTGCCTTGCCATTGCTGAGGTTGACTTTGAACTCGTGATTCTCCTGTCTCAGCCTCTGGAGCTGCTGGGATTACAGGTTTGTGCCACTGCACCTGGGCAGTTTTTTAATCTCACAATATAGCCAAGATATGTGGTCTGCAGTACCTGGCATATATTGGATATTCTTGTATTCATTCATTCAGTCATTAATTTATTTGTACATATTAACCAATGAACAAATAAATAAATCAAAAAATCATGTGATGTTTTTTTTTTTTTTAAAAATTCTTTGCTTTGATGGTTTTGCAGTGATATATCCTCATGGAGGAAGTGTACAGTGAGGGTATATGTCTTACCCGATATTTATCCTGTGTCAATAGCCATTTTTTTTTTCCTGGTACCAGGGATTGAATGAAGAGGTGCTTTACCACTGAAATACATCCCATTTTTTTTTTTAATTTCATTTTGAGACAGGGTCTTGGTAAGTTGCCCATGTTGACCTGGAACCTGACATCCTTCTGCCTTAGCTTCTTGAATTGCTGGGATTCAGACATGTGTCATGGCTTTTGGCCAATATCCATTTTTTCTTCTTACCATGAAGACCTAGTCTTCAGTTGTGAGAGTTTCAAGTGGACTCCTGGAGGAATTACCACAACTCTCCCTCCATGTCCTTAAAAAAATTGCAAATTTGTATTTCATACAGTCTTAAGTAATGTTGAAATTAGAAGCTTGGAAATTGTCCTTGTGACTTTATAATTCCAAAATGAAATGTTTACTGTTAACTAAAGTGTTTTTAGAAACTATCTGCCATTGTGTTGAATATTCTTATGGCATTGATTTGTGTTGACAGTCATAAAGAAAAAGTCAAAAAGTCATGTTAAAATGCAAATGTATAAGATTCTAAGTAAATTATATAAGAACAATCTACCAAAACATTATCTAAGTTAAAGAATTCAAAGAATTGGCCTTAAAAGACTGCAATTGACAATTCATTAAAAATAGAAATAAGGAAAAATTTTAGAGATCTTAATTTCACTGTGTATTAATTCAGGCAAATAAAATACTAAGACCTTGGAAACTGACATCACAAAAGAGGTTGTAGAAAAATAAAAAATAGACCCCCCAAAGCATACATTGATGCTAACAATATTTAATAGAGCTACTAAAACATTCTTTCCTCTTAACCAAAGATTATCCAGTTAGTAAATTTGTTTTCTGAAATGATATAGAATTATCAATTAGGGATAAGGAGGACACTTTTGAAAAATGGCATTTTGGKGGGAAAGACCTATTTTTAAAAATCTGTAAATTTAACCCAATCAATAAGTGGGCTAAGGAAGTGAACAGACATTTCACAGAAGAAGAAATACAATCCATCCACAAATTTATGAAAACCTGTTCAACATCTCTAGCCATTACAGAAATGCAAATTAAAACTATGCTGAGATTCCATCTCACTCCAGTCAGAATGGCAATTATCAAGAATACAAGCAACAATAAATGTTGGCGAGGATGTGGAGAAAAAGGTACATCATACCTGGTGGGACTACAAATTAGTGCCACCACTCTAGAAAGCAGTATGGAAATTTCTTAGAAAACTTGGAATAAAAACTTCTACCGTTTGACTCAGTTATTCTACTCCTAGGTTAATAGCCAAAGGACTTAAAATCAGCATACAACAGTGATACAGCCACATCAATATTTATAACATCTCAATTCCCAATAGCTAAACTATGGAAGCAAACTAGGTGCCCTTCAACAGATGAATGGATAAAGAAATTGTGTGTGTGTGTATATATATATATATATATATATATATATATATACACACACACAATAGAATAATACTCTACCTTAAAGAAGAATGAAATTATGGCATTTGCCTGTAAATGGATGGAAATGAAGAATATCATGTAAAGCAAAATAAGCCAATTTTAGAGAACCAAAGGCTGAATGTTTTCTCTGATATATAGATGCTAATAAGCGGGGGCTCTATGGAAGAATAGAGGTACTTTGGATTAGACAGAGAGGAGTGAGGGAAGGGGAGAGGGTATGATGGTAGGAACGAAAGTAGATGAATTGAACTATTACCCTATGTACATATATGTGACCTGTGTAACTCTACATCATGTACAACCAGAAGAATGAGAAGTTATACTCCATTTATGTATGATGTATCAAAATGCACTCTACTGTCATGTGTAACTAATTAGAACAACAACCAAAATCTCCAAATTTTCTAATGTATTTCCTAGGGGGAAGGAATTTTTGATACCTCTTGTTGTACTAAGGATGCCTGGCTGGCCCACCATTGTGGTAAAGCCTACAGGAAGCTTTGCCTGTACATACAGCCTACCTGGTGGTGAGGGAAGTGAGTTACTGGAAGAAAATGTCTTGCATATGTGACCTGTCGGAGATGAGGGACTGAGGTCTGTGTTGAGAAAGAGCTAAACTAGAGGGCTTGACTATAATTTCAAAGCCTAAATAGA